AGCCCCAAGGACCCCTTGAAGGAATCGGAGGCCGTAAATCCCACCCCCACCCCCGCTTACCTGTCCGATTGTCTAGGAAACGAATCCCTCGGTCATCGTGCGCCGTGATGGTGACAGGCTGGGTGGGGTGACTCACCACTTGGTTGATCTGACTGGCTCCTGTGCCAAGGCAAGAGAAAGGGAATGCGCTCTAGTTCAGTGGTCGCCAACCAGTGGGCCGGGGGCCACTGGTGGTCCGCGAGAAAATTTTGGTGCTCCGCAGAGAAATATCATCCCCAAAGCAATTAATCCAGGCTGCGCAGGAACACAAGGCTTGCGCCGCTTGCATTGTGAACACCACGAGGTAGTGAGGGGAGGGGGGAAAGGGTGGAGGGGGGAACTTGCCCCACGTGCCCCACGCGCCTGGCCTGGCCCCCGGGCTGCTTCTTTCTGCTTCTTTCTTCTTCTGCTTTTGGCTTCATACAAGGAAAGCAGCCAAAGTCTTTCTTTCTCTCTCCCAAACTCCGCCCGAAATGAGTCTTTGGGACCCTGCAAGGCCTCCTGCTCCTCCAAGAGGCTGCAAAGACTCATTTCTGACGGAGTTTGGCGGAGAGAAAGAAAGACTTTTGCGGCTTCTGCTGTTTTCCTTGCATGAAGCCAAAAGTCTCTCCCCCCCCCCAACACCTCCCGAGAATGGAGCTAGAGACGGTATCCTGCAATCCCAAATAAAGAACGATCAATCAGTAGGAAAACGGAGTGAGGGATTTTCCGGCAGACGTTTTGGGGGGATTTTCCCAGGGTCTCTGGTCCGCGGGATTTAAAAGTATGAGTTTGGTGGTCCCTGAGGTCCAAAAGGTTGGCGACCCCTGAGCTATTTCAAAAGGGGTTGTAGAATTAAGGACAGCTCCTATCATTGCAAAATGCAACCTGCCCACCTAAAACTCACGCCCAAACCCACCGCTCCCTCCTTCCCTCCCCCCTTGGGAAACAAGTCTCCCCTTCTCCCTTTTCATCCACCCGCCCCAACTCACCTCCGGCAGGTCTGCCCTCGAAGGTCAGGATGGGGCAGGAGGCCTCCGCATCGTAGAGTACCGCTCTGCCCGTCTGGAAGGCTGCCACCACCCGCGTGGCATCGGTGCTGGAGAAGGCGACGGAGGTCGGGGTGCCATTTTCTGCAGGAGAGAACCGGGGGGCCCACGGGGGGGGGGAGGGGGGAGGTCAGCCCTCGAATACAACGGTAATTAAAAACAAAACAAAGGTGTTCCAGTGTGTTCCCAGAAGAACGTGACCCTAAAGATTCTCTTAGCTCATCCCCCCCCTTATCTTAAAAGGCTGGAGTCTGCCCCACCCCTTGTGGTGCCAGGGGAATCCCAGGCACCCGCCCCCCTCTGCAGACCCCTCCCAGCCCAGCTCACCGCTGTCCCCGTTGTAGGTGCTAAGACAGGAGCCGCTGCAGGGGTCCCATATCCTCACGGTGCCGTCGGCCGAGCAGGAAGCCAAGCGATTCCTGGCGAGGCTGAACGCCAGACTCCAGACGGCATCTGTGTGGCCGTCCAGGACAGTGTGGAGCACGCTTGGATCTACGCCACAGAGAGAGAGAGAGGCAACATCTGCCGCGCTTCGCTTGGCGCAGGCGGTGCCCGGCAAGCGGGGGAAGGAATCGGACTAGCAGGCCCTTTGGTTGGTTCCACCTGTAAGCCGCTTAGATTTGTTCAGATCAAACTAGCGTAAAAGCCTGTTGGGTCTAGTGATGAAGGAACGAGGCTAGAAACTAGGAGGCTGGGAGTTCTAGTCCCACCTTAGGCATGAAAGCTGACTGGGTGACTTTGGGCCAATCACCAGGAGACAGGGAGTTCTAGTCCCACCTTAGGCATGAAAGCTGACTGGGTGACTTT